TTATTATACAATTTAATGAATTTCCACCTCTTATTATTTTCTTTTTCTTTTTGTTTCAAACTTTACCATGGAAAAAAATACTTTGTAAAAAAGAAGGCTTTAATTTTGACAAAAGTATTATACATGTATATATTAGTTACCCTATTTTATTTGAAATGTAATATAGATTAAAGATGGAAAAATGAATGAAAACAATAAAAAAAAAAGAGTGACAATAAAGGTGGGTGACTCCCACGAAAGACAAAAAAAAACAACACTTAATATATTGCTTTATAAATAAAGTGGCATAATAAAATATCTAGAAAGTCCAGTATGTCCTACAGTCGCCTGTCACTACAAAATAATCTAAAAGCGCCACCACATAATATTATTGAGATAATCATAATGATTTCTTTTTAAACGTATCTTCATTCATGGGACACCTATTTTCGCCATGTTTTTATTCAAATCTTGTTTCGCTGGTAGTTGTACCTGTGTACCAATTCACCGTAGTCAGTCTCTCTCTTACTCTGTACCTAATTATAGTTTTAGATTTTGACATTCAAATCAATGCAAACCTTAGTTTTGGCATAAGCATTTCATATAATAAGGTACAACATTTCGATTTCTATTGATAATTTACCGGCAGTACGGGAAATTAAAGTAGGTGTTTATTGTCCTAGAATGATGTAAAAAAGTTATCCATAATGCCTATAGTTAGTGATTGAGTAAATCTAAGCCAGCACAGAAATGCCAAGTGGGTAAAATACAATAGGCCTACGTGATAATTGAGTAAAAGTATGTATCATTTTTCTTTAAATCATATTATGGAATTTTTAAAATCGCGTAAGTTTACAAAAGAATAATCATTATTTTGTACTCTTGTTATAGGGTTAATAAGCACAATCTATTACTGTCTGCTGTAGCATTTTTGTGTGTAAAAATAAGAAATCTTTGACCAATCTCAAGTCTCGTCAGGCCTAATTACCTGTTTCTTCCATTCGCCAAGTCGTGCGAATAACCTTAATTGGTGGATATCATTCCTTATTGTAAACAGAAAATGAATATTGTGGCCGTAGCCTTTCATTATCAATTTGATTGTTTTCTGTCATCACAGTGATAACAAAATTCGAATGCGCACCATTAGTAGTTTTAAAAAGTTTTAAATAAATAGGGGGCGACATTTGTAAATGCACAATTTGGTAGCGACTTTTAAACAGTAGACTGTCCTTTGCTATGAATATCATATTATTCAAGACATGACATGATGACGGCGCGATGCGTATTAATGATTGGTGTGGAACACACCCAGACCCGATTGCGATTAGTCTTCTGTTGGGCTTATTACTAATACTCATAATGTCTATTCTTCAGGTAGATCATTTTGTTTCTCATATTTAGTATTGGTATGGTACAAAAGTATCACTGCAGTAATGTATTATAGTTCACTGAAACTTTCGAGGAGATTTTTTGCAGTACCCGACAGATGCAGATGCAGACAGTCCTAGGCCTTCTTCGCCATACCTCTGGGCTAGTCTGGTCATACGCATAGTGTGTAGAAAAGGATGCATTCAAGGGAAATAATCATAAATATTTTGGTGGATTGGGCTGGGAGTCGAACAAAAACAAATGTCCTTAACAATTTATAAATATAGCCTGAACAATATAATCTTGAAATTATAATAAATAACTCAAGCGTATGGGAATACAGTGATGACTGTTTCTGTTTTTTTTTTCTTGCCCCTATTTTAATAATGTTTGTCTCTTCTGTTGGTTGACAACCACTTACTCCTACTACTGAGTTTTATAGGTTAAAAAATCTGAAACCTAAAAATAGTGGTCTTAATTTGTTTTAAACTTTAAGTCATTAATTTCTGTGGGTTTTAATTGGTGGTACATTAAACCGATGAATTATTAGCTATATTTTTAAATATCTTTAGGTGGGGTTGGCAATTCACAAATGATAGTGAGGGCACACACCAATCCCACTGCCAAATGACTGTCATTGTATAATCTTAAATTTAATAGCATACTAGGATATGTTCATGGAGAGGAAACATTTAATATTATTTAGAAAGTCACAACATGGGGTCGCCCACCTATCGAGTTTATGTTGTTGTTGTTATTATTATCATCTCAACGTGAGTCAGAGGACACTCATTAATATTAATATCTGTAGCAATTTAGTCTACTGTAAAATGTCTCTATACCTTGTTTTGTTGACCGAATAATACATATTACATAGCAAGTTTTCAAAGCAGCATAAAATAGGTAAAAAACAGACCATAACTGTAATTGTTTGATTTATTTTATTCAGTAAAGCATCCAGTAATTGTTTGATTTATTTTTTCAGTAAAGCACCCAGACAACCCACGAAAGTCAAAAAGACTTCACAATTAAAATAAATATACAAAATACAAATACCAACCGAACAACATACTTAGAAATGCATATACTGAATCAGAGAACAGTATACAGAATAGCACATAGTACATTGACTATTCCGTTTTGCAACTAATTGATCCATAAACGATTACTAGGCCTACATTTCTATTTTTCTGTATTCTTACTCATAAATGTTCAAGTTGATTCTCAATAATCACTTGTTTGTTTGTCACACGATGAGAAATAATTAGGATAAAGAAAGACAGTCACGTGGTTATAAATTATCAGATACTTCTATATAAATAAGGTTCAAAAACTGTTTTGTAGCCCATGCACAATGATAAGAGAAAATCTAGGGTCGTTCGGTTGGTAATTTTTTTTTGCCTAACTTTCGTTTATCTCCATGTCAGCACCCAATAACTAAATTCAACATTATAGTGAGAATATATTGAATTTGTATGATCACATTCCGGAGTGTTATTCACAATTAGGCTAACAACAATCAGAACAGCACCAGAAAAACGCTTGCATCCAACAAAACACACGTAATGTCCCACAGACGCACGCTTGTATGTACATTTACGCTACTATTAATTTGTAGGACCTTACGTGCCAATTAAACTGAAATAATAGATGTTTCCTGACCAAAAGATTAATTAGTATAGTTATAGATAAAATTTCTGAACCCAACAGCCACGTATGAACGAATATAGAGAAAACCATTTGAATTAAAATAAAGAATGTTGTGGTTAATATTGTCCCGATCAATCCTAATTTAACTGTTTCATAACAATAGACATAGAAAGGAACATGCAGTAAAACAAAAATAGTGAAAAGTATTCTCAATTTTTTAAATATCAAATGACAAAACTTAAGAATGCTGTTTAAGCAAATACATCGTTACCATTTGACAAAACAAAATTACTTTTATTATATTTTAATATTAGAAATATAATATAGTACGCATAATGTATTTGTTTATATACATATATGTATATGATATGAAGATATAAAAATATTTAAAATGATAATATATAATATAACATATATGGTAAAGCCTAATCGATCAAAAATACATTAGGTCAAACATTATAGGTTATACTCTGAAAAGAGCAGCTCTCTCAGAAAGACTCAGAAAGAAATCTAAACTTGTGATCTGTTCATTGTTTTGCTCTACTTCGGTATTGAGCACTCTCCCCGAAGATTTTGATGATGATATGCATATATACTGTCTCTTATACACATCTAGATGTGTATAAGAGACAGCAATTTATATTACTGATTACGCTCAATTCTGTGCATTTTTAATCCTTCTATTGATATTGCTGTAATATTCTGTACCGCTAATGTCGTAAACAGTGGCGGAACTACGCACCCTCCCGCCTTGTCGCTGAGAAAAACCACAATGCGTCAGGGAGAAATAAAATTATATGTATTTTCTAAAATCGATTAAATACGGTAAGCCTTAATTGTCATACTTTTGAGGCATTCGCCCCCTGGACCACTTTCGAAAGATTTTTAGAGACGTCCGACAACGCCCACTTTGCTCTCGTCGGGGAAATCATCCCCCTGTTGGGAACCTTTCCCCCGACCTCCGTCGGGGGAAATCCTATCGCCACCACTGGTCGTAAAGCTATTTTTAAGCTCAAATACCGTATGATTTTCATCGTTGTTGCTCTTCTGTATAGGCCTACTTCTATTTCCATTTATTTTTAGCACACTAGCCAAAGATTGCCAATAGCGATATTCATCATTGTCTTATACGATAAGTAATAGTCATTTATACAACAACACTAACTTAATACACATGTTCTACATCGACGTTTCGCAAACTATGGTCTGCGGCCCGCCCAAATTTGGACCGCGAAACAATTGGAGGGCCGCGAAGCCATCTGGAAAATTAAAAAAAATAATAACATGTTTCATCATGAAGGAGGAAATAGTTTTTTAAAAAAAGCTGCTTCATTGTTACAGCGAATGCGTCGCTTGCACACACTGCAAAGTGCCAGATGATGCGTGCTATTTGAGTTTCTCTCCGGAGCTAGACACTAGGTTATCGTCTAGTAAGTACTCGATCTGTAAGATCGAGTACATTCGGTATGGATGAATGATGGGATGAGTCATAAGCTAAAGATAAAAATAAATATAAGACCTGTCCTAGAAAGATCACTACAGTAAACAACACCACACATTTCTTGATAACCGAATGCCCATGTGGATCACTTTATTACTAAACATAATACCTGTATAGTAAGGTAGTCTTTCAAAGTTGCATAGTAACAGAGTGTGCGTAAAAGCTTTTGGAAAAAGGAGAAAGCTATGACGTGTGTGGCTGAACTGTGTTTGGTTGAATCGTGGTAGAAAAAAAAACAATCAACAATTGTGGGGAGGGGGAGGGGACACAAATGTACGGTATTATTTATTTAATAAAATAATATTTAATTTGTAAACAATGAAATTTTATCACTGAGAGAACAGATAATGATGTCAAAATATTGTATATACATGGAGGCTTCATGATCAAAAGTTCTTGCCAGGATTTGGTATGTTGGTCTCTGGCGTGGCTGGGCTGCTGGGCCGCGGCTTGGTGCCTGGAATCGTAAATAGGCCGTGAAGTAAAAAGTTTGCGGAACGCCGTTCTACATAAAACTAGGCCTAAGTCTATTATGAGGGTGGAATTATTTTGGTCGTGAGGAAGAAATTATGTCACTGACATTATTATAACCCAGAACCCAGAATGGTATGCAAACATCTTAACTTTCGGTTCGACCGTGTTTCACTCTTTTACCTAATGTCATATTAGCTGTGAAATCAACATAATTATGTTAGTGTATATGCTGTATCTTACAGCATGTCAACGACAAATAAACCTGTCTTATAAACTCACGCCAATCTTCAAACTTTCTTTCCTCATTTTCCCTCGCAGTTGAATAAAATATAAATATACTTCTCTCATAAATAATTACTTCGCATCTTCACTTCCGATTAAAGTTGTTTCATAATAACCCAATATTTGTATTTGCATTGTGTTCATTTAAAATGATAGTAGAATCCATCCAAATATACGGCTTTTTCCTTAACTTTCACGGCTACGTGGTTTAAATGCCAGTATAATAGCTGCAAGAGATTGCACAGCTGCTACGATGACGAATGGTTGGCGATAGCTTCCGTAATAAGTATGAAGAATACCTATATTTAAAAAAAGAGACCGTATTGATGAATATGAATAATGTGCTAAATAAAATAAAGTTTAAACAATAGGAAAACAAGTGTTTTACAAAGTATAGTCTTCTGTATTTAAAGAAGGAAATCATATTTCGCATATTCATTAGCCTATAATATACGGTATAACATAATATGGATTGTAACATTACCGCAAAACAGTTTACAGTTTATCTCTTTATTGTTTAATGATTAATTATAAAAAGTATATTATCGAAGATCCCGTTGTCGTCAGATAAGGAAGTATCATGGTCTCTTTTATTTGCGGTGTATGAAAAACTAGTGTTGTTCAACTACGCATGCACATACGATGGTGAAATATCAGCTTTAGTAGTATTTGCATTTCCAACGAAGCCTTAGTGGCTCAGTTGATTAAGGCGTCTGCACAGAAAGCAGAATATCACGGATTCGATTCCCGGTTGGGCAAACTTTATTCACACTCGCAAATTCCCCTTCTTTAATGTTAAAAACTTACATATATACGTGTATACATTGTACAATATAGAGATATCATGTTTATAATAAATCATAGGTGTAATCAAAATATCGTACCCATTGAAGTACCCCCGCAAAGGGCACCAATACCTCTTGACAAGTTTAACCATCCAAACGCAACATGTATTTTTTCGATTCCAACATAATCACGTACTAGAACAGGAGCCAATGGCATCTTGATGCCAGTTGCTACACCATACACTACTGAAAAAACTATAATACTGTAAATGTTTTGAAATAGCGGGTCCGTTATTAACGCAAGTGCAGCAAGTACGTTTGCTAAAACCCACAGGTTGTACGTTGAGAGGATGTTAAAATGTAGGATGCCAATTTGTCCCAGACGACCTACTACCGATCCAATTCCGGTGGTAGTTAGAATAATTGCCGACATTTCATCCGGAATATTCAGCTCTTGAGCTTGAGGTATCACGTAAATAAGCCAGGATTCATACGCAAACCCATTAAGAAATATCACTACCGTTATAAGTACAAACATTGCATTCTGAGTAAACAACTGCAATTCTAATTGCGACGCTATACGTTTCCATACTCGAGTACATGCATTTCCTGAGGGACCCGTATTGTTTGTAAGCTGGTGTTCGCTGGTTGGTTCTTGAAGATTGTCCAGTAATTCATACTCATTATCAGTATTATCATCAGTATTATCAAGATCACGGAGAAGATACACCGGTCGCATTAGGACACCACCAACTATTATATGTAGAGACATGGCACACCAAAGCAGGAGAGTACATCTCCATCCATACAGCTCCATTAAAGTCTATGGAAACAAATTTATTGATAATAATTGATTTGAATTATGAAAGTAAGAAAATAATACAGATTTTCATATCTGTTTATTTGAAAGCTTAAGCCCTCTAATTGAGAGACACGTCCGTATACAGTAGAACCACTATTAAGGGGACAAATTCTGAACCAAAAAAGTATTCCCTTATTAGGGGTGTCCACTGAGTAGCGGTTGGCCGTAGTGTTTCCTAAGTTTTGTGGATGAAAAAGTGTCCTCTCAATAGGAGTGTCTCCTTGATAGGAGTGTCCCAAATGAGTGGTTTTACTATATTAATAAAACATTTAGTGTACCAAGATTTTGTTTTAATGTTATTATTCATCATTATCCTCATCATCATCAACCCTATCATTATCATCACCATCATCGTCGTTATTATCATCATTCCCATCATCATCATCATCATCATCATCATCATCATCATCAGAATCATAATTATAACATTGTATGTGATTATAATAAATTATTGTTGCATATCAAGATAGAAGTTTAAACAAAATAAGTCTTACCTCTCCTATAAATGGGCAAACTAGAAAACTAATAGGTCCACCAAGAAAGATAATTCCATTTGCAACAACAAACATTTTTTCAAAATATCGACTGACAATAACCACACTTGCAGTATAGGCTAATCCCAAGCCCAGACCTGAAAAAAACCACAAACCAATCATGAGAAGCCACAACCCAATCATGAGAAGCCAATGGGTACAATATTTAATCACGTGGTGGTGTAACAATGAAGATCGTATTAAGAATAAGACATTATAAATTTAGAAAATAACAATAAGCAAAATAATATAACCCATTGTTATTTTGATGTCATAGAGTTTTTTTTCTGAAAGGGTGCAATTCTATATTTTATAACAATTAGCTAACACGGTTCAATAAAGGTATATACTGTAGTGAATTTATCTGTAAATGAGCCAAAACGAATTATAAGGGATAGGGGGGGGGGGGGGGGGGGGAGAGAAGACAAAGAAAAGGAAGTAGAAAATGGAAGGAAAGAATTATAACATTACAAATTTTATATAACAAACGAACAAACGCAATCAATCTATCAATCAGTGAGCGAACGAACAAAGGAAGCAATAAATGAGAGCAGCTGATTTACCTGGAAGTACGCCGATACCAAGAGCAAGGTAAAATAAATTGGTGGTTGCATAACCTATTGCAAGTCCTGTAGATACCAAGATTCCTCCTAGTATACCCGTAAATCTGCTGCCAAACTTCTTACATAGAACACCAGAAAGTGGACCTGCACAAGATATGGAGAAATATTTTGTTCATATAAACAAAAATTAATAAATGGTGGAGAGATTTCTAACGTTTAACCATGCGGATAAGTTTCAGATGTCGAGATACAACTCCAATAAAAATCTGGTTTTCGTAAAATCGCTACAGTGTGTACTGTATCAATTTTCGGAAACAAGGCCTCTTTAAAATGTCGTAAATCATCATCCAGTAATGGACCTTTCCGCTAAGCCCCGCCCATTGGATATTGTTGCTAAGGTCCCACAAGACGGCAATGTTAAAACATACGCAAACACGTGCGTTTGTGGGACAACACGTGTGTTTGTGAGACGCGCGCGTATTCCTAGCGTTGTTCTGATTAGTCAGTTGTTAAGTTTGATTGACACTCCGGAAAGGTCTATTCCCTGACACGTACGAATTACTGTACATATGATATAGGGTAATTGTAAAGTTTGTATAGAGACATCTTTGCTAATTTTCCTTACCTGTTGTCAAGAGCAGCGTGATGGGCATCGACACTATAAATCCAATTGGTCCAGTTGAGCTTTCGAAATCATCAACCACCGGAGTTATGAATAGGCCGAGATTCCTCGGGTAGCCAAACGATATAAACATGCACAAAAACGATCCTGCTACTACGGCCCAACCCCACCCACCATCTGGTGGGGCTATGTGCTTATGTTGTCGACTTCCTCCAGACATTGCACCGACGAGTTTTTCAGTATGTCACTGTCTTTGCAGATCGAATCAGATGGTGATACGGGTTTTAAAGTTTTGAGATTTAAAAAAAAGTGTATTTCTGCCTGATATCCGTATAGGCCTACATAAGGGAGAAAATAATAAAATGGGAAACAGATAGTTTTTATTTGTCAATATATATTATACATTTTACCTTTTCATAAACGGATATTGTTTATTTATTTAAATAAATAAACAATATCCGTTTATTTATTTAAATAAATAAACAATATCCGTTTATTTATTTCAATACTTTTACTCTTTCTTGTGTCAATTATTCAAATCCAAGTAGGCTAGCCAAGGACGATTTTATATTCTATCAAAGGTTATAGCCATTCTTGTTATTACAGTTTTGTGGTTTTCTTTTACATTTCTACTCAAAAGACGATTTTTATGTACAAAGTAGTCCAGATAAAATTCTATCCCGTTCAAGTATGATGTCATAAGAGCTGGATTATTGTATCAAGAACGAAGCAGCTATATTTGAAAAAATTGTGGTTCAGATATAATGATAAGATTACTTGACAAAACGTCAATAAATAGAGTATCGAAAGGAATTTCAACAAGTCCTTGCTTAAAGCTTGAAAAAGATTAAAGAAAGCAAGACAAAGAACAGCTTGACTTGCAGTAATACAGAGGCAACTTCGGGGGTGGCGCCAGTGCCCCCCCCCCCCCGTCAGGGAGAAAAAGCACAATTCGTCGGGGAGAAAACAAATTTATGTAATTTCTACATATTAGTGGACTCTAAAATCGATTAAATAAGCTCTTGAAACCCCTAAATTGTTAAAATTTTCGGGGCTTCACCCCCTGGACCACTTTCGAAAAATTTTAATTGAAGTTTGACCACGCCCACATCGCTTTCGTAGGCGAAATCTGACCCCTCGTCGGGGGCATCGGCCCCCACCCCCGTCGGGCAAATCCTGGCGCCACCCTGGCCCAGGGCAACTTGATACAGCCTTTGACTACAAACAAAAGAAAATTGATATCTTACAATGCATCTTCAAACATAAAGAATCGGTCAGTAATATGCCATTGAATGACTGTAAAACATGCCTTAGGTAAGCCTACAGAGAAGGAGGTTAAATATGTCACTGACAATGATGAAATATTTGATGATGTATTGATGATGAATTTGAAATTGATGATGATGTATTGATGATGATGATGATGATGATAGAAATTAATGCAGTTTGTTGAACATCGGTAGAGTTTATCAGTAAAGTGATTGGCTGTAAACCATGGTGTAATTATGCATACAGAAGAGGACACTGAAAATGATACTGATGATGAATGATGATGATGATGTTAGTCAGTAAAGCCAGTAAATGACTAAAAAAATACTGTAGATAGGCCTACAGAAAAGGAAGGCTGAAGATGTTTCTGATAATGAAGAAGATGATGTAGATGTATTGATGATAGAGATGATGATGATGATGATGATGATGATGATGATGATGATGATGGTGATGCCATAATGTTGATGATGATAGTAATTACAGCTGTCTAACAATGAAAAGAGTTTATCAGTAAAGCCTGGTTTCCTTAAAATCGCTACAGTGTTTTCAGTGCAATCGTTGTACTGCGTAGCAGTCACCAAAGCAGTCGGGAAGGCTCCCCGATTCGACCGACCAATCGGCATCACTGAAAGCAGTCGGCGATAGCGTGTAGCGATTGTATGGAAACCAAGCTTTAAGTGATTGGTTAAACTGAACATACAGAAGACATACACTGAAGATGATAATGATGGTGACAATATGATGATGATGATGATGATGATGATGGTACTACTGCTGGTGGGGATGATGATAATGATGAAGAAGACAATGATGATGATGATGATGATAATAATAATAATAATAATAATAATTAATAATAATAATAATAAATTGGAGAATTTGTATAGCCCCTGCTGATGGTGATGGTGACAGTGGCGGCGCCAGCGGGGTGGCAGGGGGCTCAAGCCCCCGACCGGACAGGTCAAGCCCCCCATCGGACTGAGCTCGTCGGACAGTCAGACCATAACATATATAAAAATAGGCCCACACCAAGCCAACACATGTCTGTCACAGTCTGAGAGTGCCATTTCGGCCATCTAGAGGTTGATATTCTTTAAGAAAATCTCATTTGGGAGGGGAAATCCACTCTCAACCCCTTCTCCCAGCTCGAGCCTATGAGCTCAAGTCACCCCTGTCGGACAACTTAGCCCCCCACCCCAGAAAATATATCCTAGAGCCGCCACTGGATGGTGATAATGATGAACATAATGATGATGGTGATGATGCTGACAATAATAATAATAAAAAATTGGAGAATTTGTATAGCGCCTTATTTTCACTGGCGCTTTAAGATATGATGATAATGAGGATGATGGTGACGATCATAATCTCTCTACTCCACTACTTACAAACCTGATATCAGTCATAGTTGAAAGAGCTTTAGGATATCTGTATTTATAGTATATCGGAACAATATTCAAATTGCAGATTTATATTGGTTGGTGTACTTGGTTGTTTGGTATAGCTTATGACCTTGTATAATTTCAGGGGTGGGGCAACCCCCTCATGTCTAGAAAGAGCTCCCTCCCCCCACCCGCGGTCAGGTAGAAAAAAACACATTTCGTCGGGGGGGGGGACAATTGTATGTACATATTAGTTAACTCTAGAATCGATTAAATATGCATTTGAAACCCCTAAATTGTCAATTGTTTTTGGAGCTTCGCCCCACTGCAGACCAATATAAAAAGATTGCTACGCCCACTTTACTCTTGTTGGGGACATCGGTCCCGCCAGTCGGCGACATTGGACCCGGCCGGCAAGTCCTGGCGCCACCCCTGTATAAGGTTTTGGTTATTTAGCCTGGAAGAATTTATTATTATAAAGAATAATGTGATGACGAATGCAGTAGGCCTATGATAAAGGATGGGGTGGTAAATGTAGGCTATACGAGTATACAATGCCTCTGTTGTTAAACCTACCTATATATGTTTGCACTCTGCCTGTAATATTTAACAAATGAATAAGCTATAGATACTTTCGTCCCAATGCCGGGTTATACTGAATTTTATATTGAAATAATTAAACTATGGCCAAGACAGCTAAAACTCTAAAAATAATGAAACACCGTGGATGGTGTTGGTAGCTTTTATGTTTAGATTTGTGTTTTATATCCCTAAAAAGTAAGTATTCGAACGAATAAAAAAAGTCAACGGCAATCGAGGCTCCAAGTTGGTATAGGGAGCGTAGGCCTATTATACGATTTTTTTCTCTACAAATTTCCTTGATGTGAAGAAAGAAGTGTTGAAACCTCCTAAGAAGGATTTTATATTAGCTGCTGAATTAGTATTTAGGTTATAGCCACTAAATCTACACTTTTCAAAGAGTGTAGGCTGCCTACTTACGTCAGTTTCTGATACCAATCCACAATTCATCGGTCATGTTTAACGTCTTTCTGTGGTATACACCAACTCTAAAGGTATTCAGAGTCTAGTTTGTTTCTGTCTATGTACACACAACTATATAATCACTTATGAAAGGCTTTTATATACTTAGGCGTTAGTATTGTGTTGGGGTCATTGATTCATTCATTGTGACGAGCATAACGGAAATGCATACACAATGTAGGCTACCCAGGCGGGTTTCTGTTGTTCATTCATTCCCCGTTTTGAGCAAACCCTTCTTTGCATCAAAACAATCAACCTTTGCATAAAAAAAATCAAAACTATGACAAAATTCACGTGCTAGGGTGCTTTTAAGGGCACTTTTGAACCTCACTTCCCTCTGAACACCACTCACGCATATGAGACCCGATACCTCTCACAGGAAACTCCTTTAAGGGGTTTTATAATAATTCTAGTAGAATTGAGCTGAGGTCTGATAGTTAAAACAACTGAACCCCTTGTTGGAGAGGCGCGCCACTGGTAGGGCATATTTTTAGATGAACTATGCACTTTTGATGAAATATTATGAACAATACACAGTGTCACGTTCTTTACAAACTATACAAAATCTCACTCGCACTCAAATCCAATAGTATTCTATTCAAAGGAACACTTAGACTTTGAAGGTAAAACCTTGATTATTCACATGTCTCGAGATTTAGGAAGATAATGAAAGGCAAAATCTCAACTATGATGACTTACACTTTCTGAATGCAAGGCTAGTTAAAACAGAAATTGGCTTTAAAAACTGAGTTATGTCGGTATGAAATATAAAAAGAGGAATAAATTTAATTACAATTTTAAATATTCATTTAATGTTATGAATATATTATATGAACCACATTGGCACAGTTTAATTCATTTCTCTTGGTTATTCAATACATCATTAACTAGAGGTTACCTAATTGTAGATGTACGGTACATCGTCTGAACGCATTATTCTTATAATATATGCAATAGTTACTCAACAAAAATTTAAACTAGACCGGAACTTGGCTCGGTATGCGATTCTAGAAAAACAAATATAAGACTGCTCTGTTATGGTCCTTGCCAACTGGCCTGATACAGCCCGGTATTTTTCCACCCGGCCTTACTCTACTAGGCCTTCCACATTTGCATTTTACTACCGAACCCTTTTCCACCTAGACCCATAATTGTCATCCCGTCTCTCCACCTAACATTTTGCCGCTCTAGGCCCAACGTTGCTACACGTTTGTCACCATAGGCTACCATACCGAGGCCTGTAATTGTCACTCGGTCTTTTGCCAAGCCAGTTGTCAACACATGCCTACTTTTTTTTACTCAAATTTTTTTATTATATAATTCAAATGTTTGTAGCCGTGAATTTCAAAATTATGCATTATTAGTATTCAATAAGTAATACAAAATAGTTTTTGCAAAAAATATTAGGCCTAATGTAAAATAGTAAAAGCAAAGAAATAAAATAGTATAATACATACTCCAAGTAACGAAATGCACGCCATCGTGTCGGGATTCAATATTTCGACATTAATTATGTCATTATCAGGAATTCCTGATGATGACATCATTAATGTCGAAATATTGAATCCCGATACGTTGGCGTGCATTTCGATAGGCCTATAGAGTATGTATTATGCCATCTTACCAGAGATTAATCAGTGGACATTTCGGTCAAAGAAATAATGTTTGTCTAAACAAACTGATGCAATGCAGGCATACACAATTACCTTTATAAAATTATACTGTCGTCGGATCATTCAATAACAGCAAACATTAACCACCAAATGCCCAGATAGTTTATCAACGAGAAGAGGTGTCAAACTCCATATTCAAAAGGACCACACACTATCGTTAGGCCTATCCTACATTCTTAAAGTTCGACATACATGATTAAAATAATAAAATAATCATGTGAAAAAAAAATAATCTATTTATAATACTGTGCATTAAAAAAAATATTCATTACTGGTCGTCTACGTCCAGGTTTTTATACTTACTCTTTCACTTTCGAATGTGTATTTTGATCTCTAACACTGAGTTCCAACAAATTTAGTGTCCATTATATTAGTGAACTGTTCAACTTTATCCAATCCTTTTCCAAAGGGATTTTCGCTGGATTAAGTGCATTGTATTAGTCAAGAAAGTCAACATAATAATACAAATCAGTGGTACTAAGTAATATGTTAAAGTAAAGCTTTCTATCGGTATTGTTCTGTGGGGGTCCGAATTACTCTTTGTTTTCTTATTACGTGGGTTTGTATCCCGTGTCCTTGGCGCTATTTTCCCGTTATTTTCACACTCACAAAACTATCCCGTACTGCAGCTTAAAACGATTGGCAATCTAGTCTATTTCTTACGTAAACGTACATGTTAAAATGTCTATGACGGTGGTTCATGACAGTAGTGTAGAAAAGACTTTATTCTTAGTTTATTCAATATCTGTTGCTGAATACAAACTCGTCTACCTTGTAAGGTATTTTTGTTTCCTAATTTGCCTATTACTTTTAACCGGTATATTACTTTGTATTTATTTGCAAAAAAAACAAAAAAATAAAAAACAAAAACAAGAAAAAACAAAGAAAGATAATATATGCTTCACTAATTTAAAATATAAAATGAGTTTATGTATTGTTAGGCCTACAATATTATTAGAACAAATAATTGTTAATCATCAATCAACAACTTTGCATGGACACTTATAATTAATATACATAAACAAAAATGCAAATGAGTGGAAGTTTAATTGGGAATTAGTGTTGTTCCTATTTTGCGACTATAATACCAGACACATTATAATAAAATCTTGAAGACATTTTGTGGCAGCTGCAACTGTCCAAAAGCAATAGGCACTTTCTAAGCCTCATTAAGAAAGCTGGTTATTTACATTGCTGTTCAGTACTTCGGGTTACAAACAATTAAATTGTTGATTTATATATTTATGTAAAGTCAGTGCTTCTACCTACCTTTCTAATTTTGCTGTACAGTATTCATATCAATGTCCAAATACAATAGTCCTTTGTTGTAGAGATTATTCTCTTATTACTGCACAGCATTCAGATCCGTAAACAACACTTACTGTGAGCCGGAGGAAATGAATGTGACAGCAGAAAGAACATATATTCTAATTTTATTACTGGTATGCTTCGTCTGATGTACTATTAAACTGATATAAACACATAATTTTAAAATAAGTAATTTATAAATGGATTGGCATGTTGACTACAGGTAGATATTCACCAAAGAGACATTTTTTTTATAATTGGTCCGGCCGCGACCCTAAAAGGAGGCCCTTTGTAAAAAGAGAGCTTTTATTCTTTTTTTTTTTTTTTTTGCCTTTTTGTGCCATTTTTGTAGGTTTGGCCACGTATAAGCCTCTTATTATTCTCATGTTTACGACAGCTATGAAGACATAATAAGCGATCAGGTGAAACGTCGAGTTATTGAAATATTTTCCCCAACTTTATCATTTGAGACCCAAAAATTAAGGAACCGTAAAAATGGAAAAACTAAGCATACTAAGAAAGGGTCGCTAAAAAGTATAAACTGTACAGTTTCGGCAACACTTACAGAGGGGTTGTGGAATTAAAATTTGCGTTATAAATATAGCAAAATTTACTACGATTTTGGCACAATTTGCTTTTTGAGTTCAGTATGTGAAAAATAAAGTGGGTACCCTATAACAAGTGGGGACATCACCCATATTATGTACACATAAAAAGAAAAATACTGAAATAGACTGGCGGCGTTCAACAACTATCCTACAAAATATTATATTTTAAAAAATTGATATTTCGAGGCGGTCATCTTGAATTTCAATATGATTGCTGTCCTAGCTTTTTCGTCTCTAATTGAATTCTGTGATCCCAATAACCATTACTGCAACACAAAATTTACCCGTTTCAATTAAATAAGCGATAAGCGAATATATGATTTTTTCATCCAGACATTTACCACAAGGCAATTTTCCACACGTACTTTTGCCAACTGGTCTTTTGCCACCTTGAGGCCTGTGTCGACATCCGGTCATTTAACACACGGCAATTTCACATTCGGTAGTTTACCAATTGGCCTTTTATTACCTGAATTCATTTCCCCTCGGTGGCAAAAGACCGGGTGGTAAAAGGCCTGGTGGTAAATGGCCAGGTGGCAAATGACCTGGTGGCAAAGGGCCTATGCCCAAAACAAGGAACTTCTCTCATGATAGATCAGAAGAATTTTTACATAAATGAACAGGTAGGTTAAATAAAAACCTAAAAGTAAAGATGTTATGAACGTTGTCCAGCTTATATTCGCCGCTTATAAACAGATAATAACAGATAATATGAAGGCACTGATGCAATTTACATTTATTTACTGTTTGGCAATTATACTGGTATGATCACGTGATCATCTACATGTAGTATCACTATGTTTAATACTACCATTTGAAATTATCCAAACATATGGTACAGACTTATGCATTTACTCGTATAGATTAATACATAATTAATTCAAACAACAAATGAGTGGAATATGTAAATTAGAGAAAAAAACCCAATAAATAGATGATATTTATACAAAGTTATCCCTGAATACGGTGGGCATGGGTTGTGTAAACTTTGTTTATTTTTTGTAATCTTTTATATTTAGGTTTATGTTTCACGATGATTATTTTGGTCTTGAATGATACAAAAATAATATGGATTTAAAAGTGGAGCTTTAACTTGGTAATTAAGATGCTTGCCTTCCAGTCCCAAAGTTCTAGGTTCAGTTGCTGTTCAAGTTATTAATTTTATTATTTGATAATATACACCGTCAATTCCCTAAGCAAGCATTATAATGAGACTGTTATTGGAGTTACCTTGTTGATGAAATGATAGAAACAACTATAAAAGATAAATTGTGTAAGCCATATTGCAAATTTTATATTTACTTTAGACAATCAGTTCTAAAAACATAGGCATACTTCAAGCTGGCCTATTTTCCACTTTTCCAATGATAATCGTCCTAATTATTAATTTGAAGGCCACGGCCCACAGTTTGGAAAATCCTCAGGGGCTGCTGGAATTTCATCAGTCTCGCCGATTTGGAGAATTGTGCCTTGTCCAGTCTATTTTTAGAAATAAAAAGAATACATATTTATTAAAGAATGCAGAATACACTTTCTAATGGTGCAATATTTTCATATTTATAGATTCTTCTTCCCAACCATTTAATTAAATTAAATTAAATTAAATTCAATTGCTTCAGTATGCGTAAAATAATGTAAACTAATAGACTTTATATGATATTTGAATATTCCTGCCACTCCCATGTCCTTTGATATTTGGCTGTATATATTATTCATTCCATAGTATGTTTTCTGCGAACTTGTAATGTAAATATTTCTAAACCAAACAATTTCGTAGGATTAATACATGGTTAAAGTAGGAATACATCGTAACAAAATGTATACTTTGATACAAGCTAATGCTAATGAAATATTTTCAAATAATATTTACTTCTAAATGGCTGTTGGTTTGGCAATGGAAAAACCAATATCCTGGATTCTCCGTCTTCCACCTTATGATGACGTAGCCGAAACCTGGAACATTTACAGTGTCTTTGATGACAGCATTTGCGGGTGAAATTCGGGACAGCAAGCCTGAACAGAATATATAAATTATCAAGTAATATGTATGGCAGTTCATGACTGATTATTAAAGGAAAATATATTGTACGTACAGACATTAGAATAATATTTTAGGAATTTGTTTTTATTTAAGCATATTTAAACGTATTTGTTAGATCAAAATAATTATACTATTTAGTAAGAATTTGCGGTGTAAATGAAAATAACATTTTAATAAAGGTGGTGCATTTAAACATGTTTCTTGTGAATAGTAAGTTCTAGAGAAAGAATCTTAACTAGTTGAGCTTAACAGTCACTAAAATTTCTGCGGTATCACTTCAATCAATATATTCAAAAACATAGATTAAAGTATACAGCCATGTTTGTGATAATGTGTAAATGCTGTCTCTTATACACATCTAGATGTGTATAAGAGACAGCACCCATATTATGTACACATAAAAAGAAAAATACTGAAATAGACTGGCGGCGTTCAACAACTATCCTACAAACGCACGGACCTGCCTCATCGAGCGATCTAACGTAATCCTTTGTCGTCGCTGGTCCACTTCCGATGGTTTCTTGCGCTAGGATTCTGAATGAATTACCATGCATATGCATCGCGTAGTCATCCTCATTAACATTGACCATGATGAATTCTACAACCTATACGAAAAATAAGTTAATTATTAAGCCTGTTCTCCACTTGCGGATTTATTCGCGCTAGTCGAAAGCGTCGGTTCAGGCACATGCGCAATCACATTCCTATTGGAATTTTCGCTTCAGCGAAATCGGCAGTTAGGACTGTTTCTACTTCTTGCGAAGCGAAAAAAGTGCGCAACCAATCAGAGCTTGGATTGGATTTATTCGACGTAAACACCAAATAAATCGGTGTTTACGCTGATATCCTCATGATGCTTGGAATACACCTTAATCGGGAAAGCAACCTCGTGGTTTACAATTCAGGCAAAATTGCCAAAATTTAGAATTTCTCTTTGAATTATAAGCTTGTACTCTGACGTTTCCGGTGACATTGTGTTTTCTTAATTTATCGTAGTATAATGTCGCAAATTGGTGGCCTTACAATTTACAGTAAGACATTATTCTTATTCGTAATTTTGTTGTTAATAATTCACAATCACATGGATTAGCAAAAACCTGTATTTCGCCATGATGAGATGATATTATTGTAATATTATAGTAATGTAATAACGTGGGTTTTAATAATATAAAATGAAAAATAAGTTAGTTGGTTACATTGCATACGGTACTCTTTGTTTCTCTTTGTTTTATTTTTTTTTAAATCGGTTTTGGAAGCTAGTTTCGACATTAGAAAACATACATGAAGTCATATTACGGTAGCTTGATGCCTATCAATTAACTAATAAAAAAATCACCAAAATCCGTCAAATATCCGTAGTTGGATCCCCACCGGTGGTCCTTAGGCGGCCCCTGCCCCCCCCCCCAGCCAGGCGAGGCTCACCTAGCCCCCGGTTGATGGGGCCTTTAGCGTCATGTCGGGCAGATCCTGGCACTATCACTAGAGCTCAGGAACCGAACCGATGCCTTCGATTCGCGCCAATAAATTCGCCTAGTGGAAATTAATTATCAATATCATTATTATCGTCAAATGATTTTGTAGCGTAGGATACATAAGTGCTAGTGTATTGAAGTGGGAATTGGCCATTTCAATTTGTGTGAATTGATCAATACCAAATGAGATGCTCACCTGTCCAAGCGGCAGCTTTAAAACATTGGTGCAGTCACACACCTCTTCGGCACATTTGTCATAGAAGGAACTGTCCTGATTCGGATGACAGGTTTCTATGTTTGCTTGCTTATTTGACAGAATAGGAGCATTCGGGTAGATAAAGTTGACATTATCGATTTGGAAATTTGAAAGTACACCACTATCTAATGGCCGTCCGTCATCGCTGAAATATGTCGTCCGTAGTAAAGACAACGAGATGTAATATTTGGCATCTACACTATGTAGATCTTCATCAAAGTAATCTAGAGTAGAAAACATTTTCATCCCGTTTATTAGCAATGTTTATTTTTCTAAACACGGTTCGGCACATTAATTTTCTTTAATAACCAACATTAGAAAACAAAATACACATTTTCATTCAATAATAAGACTTAATGAAATAGTAAAATTTTCTTGTATTGTTTCAAAAGTTAGTAGTATTGTTTCAAAAACTTTTAGAAATTGAATGATTTGTAAGCAGTTGAAAAATATTATTTATTACATATACGTAGTATCGATTGTTTTTACTTCCTGAATGTGAGAACAGTTATGTGTGTTCACACGAGAGGACTTGCATTATATGAGCAGCTGGGTATTTTCTCCGAAAATCATGTTAATATTCCAAGCCTCTTAAGGTATACTTTTATGTGGTGCCATAATTTTCCGTCGGGAAGTTTGGACGAAGGGCCGATAGGCAGCAGGCGGTCACGAGTGTCACTTGTGGTGGGTAAATCTGCATTTATATCGGATCCGAACCGAAATTCGGAACGAGTTTCCGATGCACTGAACGCCAGCGTCCTTTTTACGCACTGATTCGATTTTCTGATCGGTTTGATAAGGTCTTCCTATTTGAAAATTCGAATTTGGTGTGAATGAGGCTCAAGCTCGTAGAAGACAAATTTTTGTGGCACCTAATGACTATCTTTAAAATTTGGGGATTCTTCTACGTTAGTAGGAAAAAATAATGATACACCATAATTTTAGTGTATAGAAGGAATGATAGCATGTGTTTCGTCGTGGTTTACTTTCGATGAATGTTCTGGATATCTTGCTTGCTCAATAAATTAATGCATTTCGGAAAATGAATTGTTTTTGTTTATTTTTTCAATTTTCTCATTGACCTATTGTTTCGAGTAGTCCTTGACCAAAACTACTGGGGGCTGCAGCTCTCACTTCCTCTTCTTTCGATGCATGTGCACTGCATGTCGGTAATGTAAATAAAAGCCTGGTTCTCACGAGAGCCCTAGTACCCGGATCGGGAGCTAACCGTTGGCGCTAACCGCTAGCACCTGCGTGAGAACGCCCGATCGGTTAGCGCTAATTGTTAGCCGTATCCGGATACCGCTAAGGTTAGCAAGCGCTTTTGGTTGGCAAGTTGAGGGCGTTTTTATCATCAACCAATCACACGTACGCGTTTACAATTTCCAGTTTCTTATTGGCCAGTGATTCGATCATCATATTGTTAGTATCCGGGTCGGGAATTTCTCGCGTGGACGCACGGCAGCTAACGGTTAGCAGGATCCGGATCCTGCTAACCGTTAGCTGCCGTGTGAGAACATAGCCTATGTGAAATGCTAATGTTGGTGCCTATTTCCTACCAAGCGGGTATGATTCCAGTACTGAAAATATCGCTGTATCTGTAAGTTGCGCGGGGACTTCTGGAACCGGCAAGCATGAAAGTTCTTCTTTTGAACCAGTACTGTACTGTAACATGGCAACTCCGTCATCAACACACTCGGTAGATGAGGTTCCAGCTAAAAATATACAGTAAGATGCTGGCTTAGCAGTTGCTTTCAACAGGAAGTCATATCTGTAATTAGCAATCAATGAAACATTACCAAAATAAATTCAAAATGTTAATGTTCTACTATGTTTATATACTGGGTACCGGTTCATGTATCCTGAATATGTTAAAATGGTTAATTGTTAATAAGAGTAAAAATGATGCACAACTCCCTTCGAAATAAGGAAAAATTATATTAAAATAAAATTAATTGGTTGTTTAATTATTGCATTTGTTGAGACATAACTAACATCACTAAAAAAAAAATTAAAGAGATTCAACGTTAAACCTTTCTCCTGGAGCTATAACGAAGGAATCTACTTCTTTGGGTCTCACTTCAGATCCATCTACTGCGATGATAGTCAGAGGATGTGATTCAATTGATACTTGTAAATTACACAAAGCAAAAGCCGCGCTGATCACCCGAAAACGGTACGTCATACCTTCTTCAACTTTAAAACTTGAAAGTGGTGTGAAGTAGGTCTCTCCATACTCATCATTAAATGGAACTTCCTTCGCCCTTCCATTCACTAATATTGAAAATGTTTGTTCTTCTGGTATGACGTATCTGGTGGGACTTTCCGTCATCAAAAATGTACTCATGGCGGGTCGACTCTTCCAGTCCGCCAACATCACCACATGCTCCGGAAGATCAAAATCATAGGCATATCCATTATGTTCAACTTCCCTCGCTTGCCTTACAATCAATGAACCGTACATACCATCATCCCTCTGGTAACCAGAATGGGCGTGCCACCAATGGGTCCCTGCCGGGTCTGCTTTAAATTCATAGGTAAATGAAGACGAAGACACAACTGGACATTGTGTTATCATGGATGCACCGTCCATCCAGTTTGTACCGACTTGATGTATTCCATACCAATGGATTGTCAAGGCACCGTGGTCTTGTAGATTATTAACCAATTTCACTCGAACTGTATCACCTTCACACACCTGAAAATGAAGAATACATAATATCCTTTCTAAATACTGATAGAAGACTATCAATATGTGCTCATCAACGCTTGTACAGAATCTGAGTGTGTTCATGCCCAGAGTTTCATCCAAGCGAGGCAAACAACCATTTTGCTCTCTCTTTGTGCAGAAAACTAATAACATAGGCCTAGTCATGACATTAAGTATATGTTTGAGTGAATGCATTCTTTACCTGAATGCTCGGTCCGGGTATCGTGCTGTTGGTGACGACAACTGGTCGAGCGGAACCGTCAAGCGCTACACATTCTTCTAAGTAGCAGTCGTCCAACATTACTGGACAATCGAAGCAGTATGAAGACATGGAGTAGAACCATTTTGCTGAGAATACATATTCACATACTTTCGGTTTTGCAGGATATTCACAGGTACGCAGACAGTCGTGTGTTTCCAAAGCATCAACTCTTTCTTTGCCTTGGCATTCCAAACTTAGAATCAAACCTATAATGTTTTTGAAAAAAATATTTCTGAATTTACTACCATAGTGTAAAAATTGACCTGTTAAATATTGAAATATCTGAAAATAATTTATCTATATATTATAATTATGTTCGTCTCTACTGTTTATTTTATATAGAGCTGATGTATTGACCCATATGAAAATAATCTATATATTATATATAGGCCTACATAACTACAGTAATACTTATTTTGATCTGTCTAGTAGACTTATTATATTTTCTGTTGAATAATATGGATGACATATGGGCTACAATAATGAACCTATACACTTATTGTACAGTAATAAGGTCTTGCAAATCGTGTGCTTAGTCCAAAGCGAGCACACGAGGGCAGCTTTAAATCAATAAAATGTTCTTTTAAAAAGTCTGACCACGGGCACCGTGGGCTGACTTTACCTTTTACTCTTTACTTTCAAATTACTATTAATTATAATATATTTACTTAAAATACATTTTTAAAAGAAAAAAATCCTTACTGTAGTTTAATGAAACAAAAAGAATCTTCGCCACCAATGACAGCGCCATTGCTGATACCTTTACTTGCTGTTTTACGAATATATGATGGATAATGAAAGCTTAGCGCTTTGTAAACATTGACATGAATTTCATTAACAGATTTAAGGGTCTAATATTTTTAACTGCCATTTTGATATTAAATATTTATTATAGTATATTCATTTTTTTGAACATATTCTGAAATATCATTAGAATATTCACATTTACAATTATAAACTGCTAAGTAGACACAAATATTAATATACATCTCTATAATTCGCCATTTTATACACTATTTCCTATTTCTATGTTATACCAGGGTAAAATGACTACCGGTACTTCCTAGTTATACTATGCCCATTATAATTATATATCTGTACACAAACGCTTTAGAAATTGTATTTTAGTCGGTAGATGCTGTGATAGCTCTTCGTAAACACGGATATGAATATTATTAACGAATTGCAGGGTAAATATGTTGACTGTAATTCTCACCTTTAAGCCTCTAAAACAATTAAATGAGTTATTATTGAATTCAATTCGGTACAGTATGTTATTCAATTTCTATGTATTAATACAGTAAAAAGGAACTCAGTTAATGATAAAATTGTGGCAAATAAATTATTATTATTATTATTATTATTATTATTATTATTATTATTATTATTATTATAATAATTCATGAGTAGTAAATTATTGAAATAACACAAAACAAAAGAAACATCCCGATACGTTACGTAGACATATTATTAATCAGTTTCACAATTGTTCTATGTGTGTACATAATTTTAAATACATTCTATATATCTAAAAAAAAATACATAACTTAAATTAGTATATATAAATTGTATGTTACAAATAAACGATGATTTTGAGCTAGCATATTATGATGATTGAGGGATCCCTCATGAATTCACATGTACTGCAGGGCAAAAGTATTTAATCTACAGTAGTGTCATATTAAACTGCTCTGCTCTCGTGTGTTTATGATCTTGTTCCAGTCAATCACGGAGCAGATTATATATAATTTATTTTTATATTTATATATATATAATTTGTTTTTATATTTATATATACATATATATATATATATATATATATAATGAATAAATGTAGTTGGCAATACTAGCAACGTATAGTGCTCGATACACGTGATAATGCAGATACTCGCACAACCCTTGTATTCTCTCACTCCTGAAGATTGCATTAGCATGAAACAGTCTGTAGAGTGATAATACCCAGTTCTACAAGTGTATAAGAGACAGTTATCAACTCTTCGTAACCCATGGACCACATTTAGGCATATCGTCGGGTGGCAACGGAATTTCGTCAATCTCGCCGATTTGTAGTATTGTAGCTTGTCCTGTCTATTGAAGATATAAGAATTGAGTAAAATCATAATATTATATGTAATTCATTTATATTCAGTTTGTATTAAATTATTCACATTCATCAAATGTGTACAATAACCTGTGAGTTCAAAAACAACAAAACTAAACGCATTTATACAAAACTTACAATCAAACTTGACAACCATAAGGAAAACAGGCACAGTTTAAAATAAACCTTTCCTCTAAGCCCCGCCCATTGGATGACGCTGTGACAGCTCAAGTGTGCTTGTGGAACGTGTGCTCGGCTTTTTTTTCCGTAGGTAAGTTTGGTAAAATTTCATGAATCATTCAAGTCTGTGTCAGCCCATGATCAGCCTGATATCAGCTGCTTTGTACATTATCGCGATAGGACCTAGTTTTCAGACCTAGTATAGGCCTTGCATTTGAATCAATGCAAAAATATAACCAGTGATTGAATTGACTCAGTTGATTCTGAATTTTAATACATTAACCTAAATTTACTATCCGGAACACAAAATTTCGTGATGATACAGACAGAAACAGGTGGAAGAGTTTAGAAGAAGGGTAGGCTATACTGTATGTTCAACAGTGGACTGAGGGAAACTCCACTGTCGTAGACATCGATGTCGCTCGATGCTGATATGAATAATGATATGGAAGTAGCGGATCTGGGAGAGTGAATAGGTGGCTAACCTAGAGTTCCTATAGGCTAGTCACCCCAACCCCACCCCACCTTCGGTTACCGTTAAACAATGATCAATGTTTGTGTGTGTGTGTGTTGTTTTTTTCGTGAATACATTACGTGTAGAAAGCTACCCTGTAAAACATACACTTTCTATTTTAAGCTTTTCAGATGCCATTTCCAAAAAAAAAATCAAATCGCACCTCGCATTATTTAATTACTCCCCTTTGCTAAATCATAGATCCGCCACTGGATAGGGCTACGAACGATATACATTTAGTTACTTATTTTATATGATGTCAGCATCGAGCGAAGACTTAGCTTACACAGTGGAACTTTTAACAGACTTCAAAAACAACTATTTAGTACTGTAGTACTGTACTTTGTGTTTGCAGACTGACAATAAATGTAATGTATTAAAATTCAGAATATCACATCAATCGCTTGTTTTAATTTTTGTATTGATTCAAATACAAGACAAGACCCATATTGTTTGTATATTGTCTGCACATGCCATGCACCACTATTACGATAGACAGGGCTTAACGCGAACCCTCGTGGGGCAGAGGTGGGTGTGGTCTCACGAAATGTCCCCCAACCCACTTAATATTTCAAAAAAGATCTGCGTTGTGTTCCGGATAGTAAATTTAGGTTAATGTATTAAAATTCAGAATCAACTGAGTCAATTCAATCACTGGTTTTAATTTTGCATTGATTCGAATACAAGGCCCGTACAAGATTAAAAACTAGGTCCTATCGCGATAATATACAGAGATGCTAATATCAGGCTGACCATGGGCTGACATAGACTTGAGCGCATGCGCAAAATATGGTCTATAAAAAACAGTTATGAATAATTCATGAAATTTTTCCAAACTTACCTACGAAAAGAAGATTTGCGTGCGCTTGTTCTATAACCATGTTGTGATTGGTTGTTAAGTTTGACGGACACTTTGGAAAGGTCCCTTATTATTCTATAGGGGCCACCAATGAACACGCTCTATTTAGTTTATAAGAACATTTATATATTCGACATTTTTAATTTAGAGTTAAATGTTAATGTTAATGTATTAATATTTTATAATTTAAAAGTAAGAAAACATTGTAAAAACAACAATAATTGAAAATGCTTTATTCAAAATCTCTTCTCTACATGTAACGAAAATGGGGAGGTTTTTTTTTTTTTTGTTTTTTTTTTTTGTTTTCCTAAAGCGGACATTTAAATAAATATGTGATTTTATTTAAGCCGCCTACCAGCTCATACTAACACTTTGAGTATACTTTTGATCAGCATAATATTATCTTCCATTTTAATTTAATCCGTCTTTAAATAAATGTTAAAAATGATCCATTCAAAAAAAAAAAAAAAAAACGGGCACTAAATTCATGTTATAATAGCTGCATGTATGTAAAGCTCTGTCCAGATTATCAAATTTTCTTGGACAAAAACCTGTTGTATCCCCATAGATAGTAATGATATGCCTACGTATATATGGCCATTATGTGACGTCATCATGACCATATTTAAGCATGTCACATGATTTTGTCAAATGAAATTTGATTGTCTGGAGCTTACCTCTAAATGACTATTAGTTTGACAATGAAAAAGCCAATATCCTGGATTCTCCGTCTTCCACCTCAATATTACGTAGCCGTAAGCCGGGACATTCACGGTATCTTTAATGAGAGCATGCTCGGGTGAAATTCGGGAGAGCTTTCCTATGATTCACAAAATATATAACGTATGTATTTTGTTATTGTTATTGCTTCTTTAAGTACATTATTTATATTCTGCCAGAAAAATCTGGAAAATCTCTAAATATGCAACAATACTATGCTCATTTACACTATTAGATATTCTAATACGACATAGCTAGATTAATCAAATCAATTTTCTTGTAGCCTCTCATCTCTTAACTTTTTAATGTTCAATTTGTAGAAGCATACAGTACATGTAGTGACGTAGCAGCTGTGCACCCTCACTGGATAAAATCCAAAATCAGGGCCCCCAGGACCCGCTTCTTTATTTTTATGCCTACGGTATGTAAATTATGTAATTTTGTGAATAAATGAAAATACATCCCCACGGTGGATGGGCCCGAAGACGCAGAGGCCCTAACTAGGCATCAGGGCGGCGCCAGGACTTGCCTGACGCCGCCGGGGTGGTGGGGAGGGGTTGGGGGAGAACTAAATACTTTTTTGTTTTCTCCCCGACGGGGAACCCCAGTACCGGTATAGCCACCACCGCTAAGCATCTTCGTTAGCTAGAACCAAATTACACTATTTTTTGTAACACACAGTACTTTAGTCATAAAAGTAATGCAAGAAATAGAATTTGATTTTCAGTGCGATTATTTTTACAGTCCGTGATGAATAGCAGTGCCCGCACCTTCTTTATCAAGATCTTCTAAATAATCCTTTGTTAGCGGTTGTTCATCTCCAATGGTCTCTTGTGTCAGAACTCTGAATGAGTTGCCATGCATATGCATCGAGTAATCAGCCTCATTTACATTGAAAACAATAAATTCTACAACCTGTTATAAATAGAAAGTATAAAGTATAAACTGAATGTTAATATCAAAAATGTACAATAATTGGGAGCCTTTTATTTATAGACTACGTCCAATACGTATTATATTATTATATATACTTACAAAAGTATACATAAACCCACAAAACATGTAATAGTCTATACTAATACACATTATTATCATCGGCCTATATGCCAAGCCCTAGAGAAGTATTTTTATTGCAATATATGAGATAAATGACATTTTTGGTGAGGCAATTAATTGACTGTCTTATCCGAAATATGTGGTTTGTTTGGTTGCTCTTGAATGATTGTGTAGAATCAAGCAAGGAGCATGTTTTGCATGATGAACCACAAAGATGACTACCCAAAGTATGGTTGTCGCAAGAGTTAATTTGCCTCTTGAATTTAGATCGTACTAATATATCACGAAGGTTAGGTGGTCTGCGATAGGCTATGAACGGTGTATCCGGAAAAACAGACCTAAGACGTTCTGTGGTCTGTAGGATGGGCATATGTTTCTGAATTATAGCCCTTAGTGGTGGTAACCTAGGGTGATAGGTTGTGACCAGTGGCATTTATATATATATATATATATACTTGATAAAGTATTATACCTAATATTTTGCCGTGTTAACATACTCTCTCACCTTTCCAAGGGGCAGCTTTATAACACTTGTGCAGTCACACACCTCCTTGGCACAATTGTCATAGAAAGACTTGTCCTGATTCGGATAACACGTTTCTATGTCGTCCCGATTAGTTGACAGAATTGGAGAATTTGGGAAGACAAAATTGACATTGTCAATTTGGAAATTTGAAAGTACACCACTATCTAAACGCCTTCCGTCATCAGTGTAATACGTCGTTAGTAGTAAAGACAAGGAGACGTAATATATGGCATCTACGGTATATAGATCTAGATCTAGTGTATCTAGGAAAGAAAACAACAACATACATATCATGTGTTCATTCTCGTCATCTATCGTCATTGATTGATTGATTGATTAATTGATTGATTGATTGATTGATTGATTGGATCGATTGAGTGTAATTAGAAAAGAAAACAAGAAGAAAATATATATGTTTGTAACGTAATTAATTATTGAAATCTGTCGGAAATGATTGTTTGATATTGACTAATTGACTGATTTACTGATTGCTTGATATTGACTGATTGACTTATTGACTGACAGATTGATTGATTGATTGATTGATTGATTGATTGGCTGACTGACTGACTGACTGATTGGTTCATTGTATCATTCGTTCATTCATTCATTGACGGATTAATAGATGGATTGATTGATTGATTGATTGATTGATTGATTGATTGATTGATTGATTGATTGATTGATTGTTTGATTGATTGATTGATTGATTGGTCGATATGTTTGTTGGTTGATTGGTTACACTGATTGATTGATTGATTGATCGATCAAAATATTCATTGATTGATTTAAATTTTCTTCCTCCCTACCCAGTGGATCTGACTCTAGTACGGAAAATATCGCTGTATCTGTAAGAGACGCAGGGACGTCTGGGACAGGTAAGCATGAAGGTATTTCTTTTGAACCAGTACTGTACTGCAACACGGCAACTCCATCATCAACACACTCGGTAGATGATGTTCCAACGGTATATATACAATACGAAGCCGGCTCAGCAGTTGCTTTCAACAGGAAGTCGTACCTAATACAATTCAGAAACAAATATGTATTTCTCTACACCCACGTGATATTCACTACCGTACTATTTTAACGTTATTGTTCAAATATACTAAACAGATGGCAGTGTATCTAGTATATTTTGAATTAGCCCTACTTGAGGAGGAAATATTGTATAGGAATTATTTGACAAGAATTGATTCTGTAAATCTGGGTGGAAAGATGGAATTTTAACTAGTCAGATAGTTTCGTATTATTTATTACGTAATCAGATATAATGTTATGGTATCCCATACAATAATTTAATCATGGCTTAATTATCATTTTACTACACGCGAAAATGCGTTGTTAATGAAAAAAAAAAGATTCTTTTAGAAATCTGTCTGCAAATGTAGCGAACAGATCTTATAGAATAAAATTAGAAATTTGTCCCAGAATAAGAAATAATTTCGAGTCATATTCTGCAGTAGACATAGGTTTTTATAATATTAAAGGAAGTCAGAAACATTCCATCACAAACCTTTCTCCTGGAGCTATAACGAAGGAATCTACTTCTTTGGGACTCACTTGAGAACCATCTACTGCGAAGACAGTAAGGGGATGTGAATCAATTGATACTTGCAAATTACACAGAGCAAAAGCCGCGCTGATCACCCGAAAACGGTATGTCATTCCTTCGTCAACTTCAAACGTTGAAAGAGGTGTGAAGTAGGTGTTATTATTTTCATCATAAAAGGGAATTTCGTTCGCCCTTCCATTCACCAATATTGAAAACGTTTGCTCTTCTGGAATGACGTATCTGGTTGGACTTTCCGTCATCAAAAATGTACTCATGGCGGGTCGACTCTTCCAGTCCGCCAACATCATCACATGCTCCGGAAGATCAAAATCATATGCATAGCCATTGTGTTGAACTTCTCTCGCTTGTCTTACAATCAATGATCCATACATACCATCACACCTCTGGTAACCAGAATGGGCGTGCCACCAATGGGTCCCAGCTGGATCTGCTGTAAATTCATAGGTGAATGAAGACGAAGACACAACTGGACATTGCGTTATCATAGATGCACCGTCCATCCAGTTTGTACCCTCTTGATGCATTCCATACCAATGGATTGTCAAGGCACCGTGGTCTTGTAGATTATTAATCAATTTCACTCGAACTGTATCACCTTCACACACCTGAAAGTAAAGACTAATATTTTTAAATGGATGATGCAATTACTGTATTTATATATATATATATATATATATATATATATGTATATATATATATACACACTTATAGGAACCATATGAATAATTGTGTGTAAATCCGTATAATAAAATACATGTTACGATCGCGCCGCAGTGTGCGGTCGTAACGAGAGGAATATCTAATTCTCTTCAAACAATCAAACGAGAAAATCAATCTTGTTTGTATTAATACTTCATTGATTTGTCATACCTGCTGGTATTGTGATATGTTACCGGTAACCATTCGAAGGTTTCCTTTTAATTAAACGGTCTGTTTCTTATTAATTCTTAATTATTTTCGAAGATAAATTAAAATAACCTTTTTTTTTGTTTTCTTGTAAATCGAATCGCACTTAAGCTTGTGCTGTCATGATTTCGATATTATTTCCAATCTAAATCAGAAAGTGTTTAGTACCACTTAGGCTTAGTTACAAATCTTTTCATGCTGTATTACCTTATTTTCCTGGCTAGCGCCCCCACACTCCCATCCCCCACCCCCAAACCACCTCACTTAATCGTGGAACCCTTCGACAAATAAACATAATGAGCTAATGGCATATATTCTTATTTTCATTTTTGATTATTTTTTTACCTGGATGCTCGGTCCGGGTATCGTGCTGTTGGTTACGACAACTGGTCGAGCGGAACCGTCAAGTGCTACACATCCGTCTAAGTAGCAGTCGTCCACATTCAATGGGCAATCGAAACAGTAGGATGACATGGAGTAGAACCATTTTGCTGAGAATACATATTCACATACTTTCGGTTCTGCAGGATATTCACAGGTACGCAGACAGTCTTGTGTCCACGAAGCATCAACTCTACCTTTGGCCTGGCATTCCAAACTCAGAATCAAACCTACCACAAGTGTGTATTTTGACAAAATATTATCATTTTAAATAAATACGTTCAGTAAATTAGGCTTCCAAAATTTTATAATCGCCACAGGGTCTATTTAACCATTTAAGGCATATTGTCTGCTAATAAACTTGAACAATAAAGGACAATTCGTATCGATTACCTTGTATGTTTAAATAACTTGATCTTTCAATGTAAAACTCTTCTCTAATTAACAAACACACAAATAAGTCCATATTATTCTGATACATGATCTTTTATTGCTTCGTAATCAAGTACTTTGACACGTAGTAAATGATCTTTGAATACAAAATGAACTATTTTAATTTGTGTCTTCGAAATAGAAAAACTTTAAGCATTGAATTTATGCAAGACTTGCGTTATTACGTGTGGTATTATAGGGGGGACTATTTTCCGGACATGAGTAAGCGATTATCTTTTGGTGTTTTGCCCAATTCATATGAAAGATGCCGTGGCAGCACCCAGCACCAGCAGAGAAGAAGAATTTAAGTCTTGTTTTTGAAACGGCAGGCTCCACCACCTCCCGCTCTCGTTGGCAACGGTACTCTTTCGACCCTCCAAAACTTCTCAGAACATCCTATCACTGCAGTAGTGGCGATCCACAACTGCCCTGTGAAAATGTTAATTAAGCATAAGAGGCTTAGGCCTAATTCATTTACTCTACTCATTGCTAAGAAAAATAATAGAGCGTTACATAGTTGATCGTAAGTGTATATGCATGTATTCTTGACGGTTTTCAAATTCAAAAATGGGAATCCTTGTGCAGCACCAACCAACGTTTAACGAATAAGAAACGTAATAATATAATGATATTAGGCTTATATATAATAATATATTGTATATAATTTCTGAATAAATAAACAACCTTTTTGCTATTAAGTTATACAATGTGCTAGCGATGTTATTATTATTGTACCTTTAAGTCGGTCCATGTAATTGGCAAACCGGCAAAAAGTGCAACTTTTTTCATTCCGTGGGGAGAATGTCTAGTCCTGTTGTGACTTTCTGGTGTGTGAATCAAAATTAACAACTGACCAATCAGAAAGCGCTAGAAATACGCCCTTGTACACGCACGTGTTTACGTACGTTTACGCTATCTTTCAGTTGTGGGACCTTAGCAATTGGGGCTTAGCGGAAAGGTCTATTGCACACAAACTACCAGGCGTTATGGTTAGCAAATGTAGATAACTTGCCTTTGCCCAGGACACAAGCGAAATGCAAAGCAAGAGGTTCGAACCACCGACCTCTATGTTGAGAACCTTACTCTGCGCCAATACTAACAATATGCTGTAAATGTGACGGTTATTCGAAGAGCTAAACGATCACACCAGAATTTAAAGCTCGACTCCCTAGCCGGACCTTGAACCTAAAAGGAACTGTATCTCGTAGCAAAACGCTTGACTACTTAAGAACTGTGATTAGATGCATGAAACTATCTAAAGTTCATACGATATATATAAATACAAATCTAAAGATAAATAAATTCTTACTGCAGTTTAATGTAAAGAAAAACACTTTCAACGCCAACGACAGAAACATTGCTACAATCCTTATCAATATGCAATTTGAAGAACTTTTCCCAAATGACACTCAAGTTGGTAAATATTATAGTATAAATGGTGTGTAAGATTCGTAAACATTTACATACATCTCATTAAATAATTATACAGGTATTGGCCAATACGTTTGGCTGCCTTCACATGAACACAGGTCTTAATGCGTATTTGCTTAATTTAGTGTCATAGTATATAACACCCTGCTCGGTAAACATGATATGGAAGAAATGTATTTTGAAAATATTTATTCAGGATAACACATATACAGGCAGGTAACTTGTTTAAATCTGATCCTGGTTTATAATGAAAGAATACTTAAATCAAATTGGATTAAATACAAATAAATCAAAACTATAATGAATTTTTTAATAAAATGTCTAATAATTGTATCATTTGTATTTCTCTCCTACAATGTATGTGGATTTTGAAAGAATTTTCAGACCAATTAATAATGCTATTTAACACTTAAATTTAAAGAAAAATCAATGATACCTCAAATTTAGGTACGTATTCAAGCCCGTATGCAGGATTTCTAAAGTAAGGTTCAAACTCATCTCAGCTTTCAAGGTATTAATCAATTAAATCATGTAAGCATTTTACAACAAAAATAATGCTATGTAATTGCTTTTTTGAACCATATCAAGTAAGGATTCTAAGCCTGTCAGCAAAATCGCGTTCAACAATCTATACATTTTATTGACTGTTAATATCTATCTTAAGGCTCTTTTTTGGTGTGGATTCCACAAAGGGGCAATGTATTCGATACTGGGACGACAAAGAGCATTAAAAAATCTAAGTAATATTGTAGTATCGTTAAAACCAACAAACCGTTTGATAAACCCTAACATTTCCATTGATTCCACCGATACATTATTAAAATGGGTTGACCATAGGTCACCTGAAAAGTCGATATCCATGCAAGTTTCCTATACTTCGTGCCCAACGTACAGGACGCCCTTCTGTTGCTAAGTATATCCAGACGCAAAAGGCGCCCTTCCTTTTCCACTAATGGAGGAAAACTTTTTCACTAAGAGTGTGTCCGGCCATGCGATTCTGCACTGTATTGTTGTTTTATTCTTTACTGATTCATGATTATGCTTTAATTGTTTTGTGTATTATTTGGATAATAGCAACGATTTCTACCGCCACCAAGGAGGTTATGTA